ACCAAAGATAGCGAGGTATAATAAGTTAATTTTAAATCTGTATGTAAAACAATTAAAAATGATTACGATGTTGTTTCTAACCTAGCAGCGTTGGTGTAACTTTTATGTTTTAATGTAAATGAATTTCTGTTATTGTTTCTGAATCTCTACTTTATTGGGTTTCATGCGTCTTGCAGAAGGAATCGAAGAATAAGTTTTACAATGCACGTTTAAGGTTCCCTTAAGTTAAGTGTAGTATGCGTTTTATTGCAGGCCGTAAATACTTAAAGGAAGATTATAATTATGAAAAATATGGCAATGCTAGTAAAATCATAGAATGATCATTTTCAATTTAAAGCTGTTTTATGCTTACCTCTAAAGCCAAAAACGATAAATTATTTTATAGATTAGGTTGAAAGAGAATTATTTGATTGACAAGTAACCTTTAAATGTCAATTAAAACTGCAAAAATCTATTAAATGTCAAATCGGCCCTTAAGTGAACGTTGTAAAATTGTCTATAACTGACTCGACAAAAATAAAGCAATATATGCTTTTTTTCTTACAAAATCCATATGAAGATATAATAGAAAGGTTCGATAAATTTAAGTGTAAACCTGGTACAATACTGTTACTTTTTGAAGTTACACTTGTCATTTTTAGAATAAATTTTTGCTGAAAATTAGCATTTACTACTCTCTCAATTCATAAAAATTGTTTTTACATATATCCTGGCTAGAGAGATAATAGCGTTGCGTGCGATGAGGGATCTAAACGAATTGTCGTTTTTTTTTTTAGTTTTTTTTATTCCTTCTCTACGTTGTCTCACAACATTTTGCATATAAGCATTGTGTTTGAGTGGTCTTTTTAGTAACATTGAATGAATACTTTTTCTACAATCTCACTCTCTCTCTCTCTTCCTCTCTCTCTCTTCCTCTCTCTCTCTTCCTCTCTCTCTCTTCCTCTCTCTCTCTTCCTCTCTCTCTCTTCCTCTCTCTCTCTTCCTCTCTCTCTTCCTCTTTCTCTTCCTCTCTCTCTCTTCCTCTCTCTCTCTTTTGCATATAAGCATTGTGTTTGAGTGGTCTTTTTAGTAACATTGAATGAATACTTTTTCTACAATCTCACTCTCTCTCTCTCTTCCTCTCTCTCTCTCTCTCTTCCTCTCTCTCTCTCTCGCTCTTCATCTCTGCTTTCCTCTCGTCTCTCGATTCCTCGTCCTCATACTGTCCTCTCTCTTCCTTCTCTCTCTCTCTCTTCTTCCTTCTCTCTCTCTCTTCTTCCTTCTCTCTCTCTCTTCTTCCTTCTCTCTCTCTTCTTCCTTCTCTCTCTCTCTTCTTCCTTCTCTCTCTCTTCCTTCTCTCTCTCTCTTCCTTCTCTCTCTCTCTTCTTCCTTCTCTCTCTCTTCTCTTCTCTCTCTCTCTTCTTCCTTCTCTCTCTCTCTTCTTCCTTCTCTCTCTCTCTTCTTCCTTCTCCCTCTCTCTTCTTCCTTCTCTCTCTCTCTTCTTCCTTTTCTCTCTCTCTTCTTCCTTTTCTCTCTCTCTTCTTTCTTCTCTCTCTCTCTCTCTCTCTCTTCTTCCTTCTCTCTCTCTCTTCTTCCTTCTCTCTCTCTTCTCTCTCTCTCTCTTCTTCCTTCTCTCTCTCTCTCTCTCTCTCTTCTCTTCTCTCTTCTTCTCTTTCT